GTGTGTGTGTGTGTGTGTGTGTGTGTGTGTGTGTGTCAGGATATTAGATCACATCACAGCAGGACAAGTCTTATCAGATCCCAACATGCAAACATGAGCTCCACTGTTAACGTCCTTCCCCTCAGGCCCGCTGTGTGTGTGTGTGTGTGTGTGTGTGTGTGTGTGTGTGTGTGTGTGTGCGTGCGTGCGTGCGTGCGTGTGCGTGCGTGTGTGTGCGTGTGCGTGGTACATCCTGTTGAGAGTCAGATGTCCTCACAAGGACACAGAGGTGTATACACATGGTGGTAACATGTCGTGGGAGGTCATTTTGAGGTCAGAGGTGAATCTAGAGGTCAATATAAACACAACAGGAAACAGGCTTCAGTAAATGGTGGAACATGATTGTACACACTGAGAACATGAATGGTTTATTTACTGTTTGTTATCAGCTGATTTTATAGACCGGATTCTGCTTTGAAGATAAGAGGAACATGACTTCCTTAATGTGAAGTGTTTCCCATTGAAGCAGGTCAGTGTGGGGTCAGTCTGTAGCTGTGTTAGAACAGGTAGAGATGTACATGTGTGACCACGCCCACTCACAGTCGGCCGTTTACTGTGATATTGAAGTTCTCTAGGAAGTTCAAGAACCAAACTTTATAATAACTGACAATAATGAACTGAGTTCCTCCTCTCTTGCTCACTACAGTTCACTGGGTTAGACTGGAGGTGATTGTCTGACTCACACAAGTCAACTCTGTTTCAACTGAAGCAGCGTTCAGTGTGACAGACGACAGCTGCGTTCAGTGACAGTGTCTGACAGACACAGGGTCACACTGAACCACTCAAACCTCTTCTATTAGTCAGTGCAAGCTTCGGGTTTGATTCTTAGCTTCTTTTCTTATGTTATTTTTTGGGCACTTTTGCCTTTATTCTGACAGTACAGTGAGAGAGAGACAGGAAATCAGAGAGAGAGAGAAGAAGACATGTAGCCGTGGGTCGGACTGGGTAAGGTTTTGTGGTCGACGTGTCATTGTTCAGTTTGGTGTCAGACATCAAAGTCAGCGCCGAGTTCAGGTGAGCTCAGAGGGAGGAGGCGGATCAACTTAGAAGACTGACTCAGAGGCTTCACTGGAGTTTGGACATTTGAACAAGGCGTTGCTTTGTCATTTGATTGATCCAATATCAGAGCGTCGTCAGGCTGAAGGTCAAAGTTCAGAGAAACACATCAGTCCTCACAGATACAGTAATCTAAACATTAATGTACAGCAACAGAACAGGTTTAAAGCTTTGAAGCACATGCTCTGTGTTCTGAGCTTATTTATTCTACTGACATACACACACACACACACACACACACACACACACACACACACACACACACACTGGGTGGGTTGCTGATTAGACTGAAGTCGTTAGTGAAAACGCTGCTTTCCTCAGATTTTCTGTTAATTTAACAGTTAGGCTGGAGTGTTTTGTCATACACCTGAGTCCCCCCCCCCCCCCCCCCCCCCCCACACACACACACACACGCACACATCAAGCACACACACAGGCACAGATAAACACATATACCAATGGACACGCACACAAACACACACTCTCCCACATTTGCTCACACTTGACACGATTTACTTGAATCCATTAAAGCTGAATTTACATAATTCTGTCTCTGCTTAAGTGCCTCTGCAGGGACACACACACACACACACACACACACACACACACACACACACACACACACACAGAGGCATGTATACTGCAGTGTGGATGACCTTGTAGACCGGGCAGAACTACAGCCTGTATGGATAGTTTGTGTGCGTGTGTGCGTGTGTGCGTGTGTGCGTGTGTGCGTGTGTGCGTGTGTGTGTGTGTGTGTGTGTGTGTGTGTGTGTGTGTGTGTACATCCCTGCAGCCAGAACACACATTATAGCTCTAATTAAGACTCTCTGTCTCCATATGTGCAGCTGTCAGCTGCTCTCAGACCAGTGGATTGTTGATTTGCTGTTTATCTGTTGTTGTTGTTGTTGTTGTTGTTGTTGCTGCTGCTGTAAACAGCTGTTAGCCAAACTGACATCAGATCTTCTGAATAAATCTTGATGCTTTTCTTCACCTCTCTGACTTTCCATTTGCACACAAGAAACAAATATAAAAACAGATTCTTTACAGCTTTATTGATAGTTGAATTATCAATAAACGGACACACATTGCTGCAGAAACTGTGATGTTGTGGAGGCAAACCACCGCTCTGTTCTGGATCAGATCTCATTTTGTTTTATTTGGCAGACCTGCCAAAAAAATAATTATATTTGGATGTGTTTTCATCTTAAAAACAAAAAGAGAAAACATGAATGCACCTGAGCTTAAACAGACACAAAATAATGAGTAAATGTGACAAACAGATTATAGTAATGAGCGTTAAGGTGTGGGCTGAGCTTTAGAGCGATAATTACGCCTACATGTGTCAGAATGCAGCATTTACTAAATTTAATAGCAACCTCCAGAGTCCAGACAATAAATAAGAAGGTAGTCATACAGACATATCCATATACACAATATGAGCTGATACAGCACAAAGAAATGAGTCTTAAATAGTTACAAACATCCATCTACCTTTCAACAACGAGCTGATTCACATCCTTTAGAAAGAATAGAATCAAATATTAAATATGATAATCAGAAGAATAAAAATGACACTGCAGTGAGGGTGATGAATACCTCAAAATTTAACTAAGACTGACTTAACTAAGATTGTGAAAGGATGTACATATTGAAGGATGGACAACATATTATATGTGGCAGCTGGTTCGCCTCCTTCAGTGAACGACTGGGTCTCTTTCCTTTTTCTCTGCTGTGTTCTTTACCATTGGTGGATAATTATAAGCATCTTATTCAGAGCTATATAAACATTTGCTCTCTACCTTTCAGTGACAGTGATGTCGATGTGTTGCTGCCCGGCAACAGCACCTTTGTTTTTGTTCTTGTGTTTAAAAAAAGTCAAAGCTGTGGATCCATAAGATAATGTTTTTGTAGTTTTACATCTCCTCTCTCAGGCTTCTCTCTGCAGCTCTAGTAACAACAGGTCGGTGAGCCAATCAGAAGAGAGGAGGCTCTGAGCCTCTCTTCTGATTGGCTGACTGTTTTCTGACTGATCCAATAAAAATATAGCAGATTTCAGGTAAAAACACTCAGAGAAACCAAATCCTGCAAGGTTTGGATGGTGGGTCCAGGTGGGCGGGGCTTGGTGACTGCTTTGTTGTGACATCACAAAGTTCCAGAAGTCCTGACGGCTGGTTTTAAGGCTCAGTTTCTGAATACAGGCTGTGTGCATTTCTCTGTGGACTGAGGCTTTGATACTTTCACAGTATTAATATAGAAGCTAGAGCTGATCTATAATCACACTACACATGGACACAGACCGTCACACTGGAGGAGCTTTAAAACCTTTAAAACCGACTACTGAATTTGTTTAATGGCTCTTGAAGATTTTTAGTATTTTTGTTCTTGTATTCATGTATTCATCACTGCTGCCTCTGGTGCTCCTCAACTTTTCCCCTCTGACCTTCAAAATAAAACAAACATCTTTTAACCATCCTCTCACAGGTTGCAGATGCACAGGAAACCAGACATGATCAAGAATTTGATGAGAAAGAAAAAAGAGAGAATGAGAGAGAAGGAAAAAATCTTTTTTCCTTTTTAATGGAATGTTTGGCATGAAAGTTGTTCTGCAGCCTTCAGCATTAATCCAAAGAAAATCTCAGTATGTGGTCACAGAAACCACATTACACTGCTCCTGTTGGCCCATCTGTTTTCATTCAGTACTTTAATGCACTTTTTGTGTAACACTGTGTTAATTCCAGCTGAGTGAAGTCCGTCAGAGCTGCTATTAAAGCTGCGTGTTGTTTGCGTTTGCAGGTCTGACGACAGAAGGTCTGTATCGCGTCAGTGGGAACAAGACAGACCAGGACAACATCCAGAAACAGTTTGATCAAGGTAAAATACTCAGACACTCACTGCAGCAGAGCCTCATAAATACACATTCAGCTACCTGCAAACCTGAAGAAAGAGCACATGTGGAACTGGAGTTCAAAGCACCTTCTCATTATTTTCACAGATCGTGATTCTAAATTATTTTCCCATGAACTTAAATCGTGCTGTTTTAAGAAGTCAGGAGCAGCATTTGTGTGATGTGTGCAATAAATCCAACCCTCAGAGAAAACTCTAACTGAGCCGACCCATTCCAAATCTGACCACGCAGCAGAAGCGTTTAAAGAGAAACACATGCCCCGCGGAGCAGAGTCGAACCTGCACATGGAGGCTGGTCGGCTGCCAAACCGGCTGTTAGAATAAACACAGTCACCGCAGGCAGAAATCACCAGCACACGGTCAGCACTGTCAGTGCTTTTACAGCCAGCCCATGAAATACAGAGACCGGACTGAGACCAGGCGCTCTGCTATTTACTCACTTTTATTTATGATTGCATCCTTCTCCTCCTTCTTCCTTGTTGTTGTTGATCAGTTTGTGTCGCTGTCTGTTTCTGTCGACTCTTAAACAGCCTGAAAATAAAAAGGAACCATGTTAAAGTCCGTGATTAATGCAAACGCAACAGTGTATTTAAGGAAATAAACGCCTTTAAAATGTTTTACCCCCCAGCGCTCAATGAAGATATTTATATAAATGATCACATTAACTTTTCCAAGTGTCATAAACCAAATAAACTGGAGCAACACGTTGTTTCACTGATGGTTCCTCTGATGTCTGTTTAAACAACCTGTCAGTTTCTTATTAATAATAAAATATGGGCTGTAGGTGAAGCCCACAGCTGACCCACCGACTCCATGGCAACTTTATGCTGAGCGTCAAGATCACCCAAAGCATGATGGGAACTCCAGCAAAATATATTGACATTAAATGGAAATAAGAAAAAAGCGTTCACTAGAGTCAGAATAGAAATGAATAGAATCCTGGAGCAGGAACTTTTACAATGAAGCTTCAGCCTTTAAGTGAATCAATACTGCTCCTTTCCTCATGTGCATATCGATGTGTTTGTTTGCTCATCATTTTCTTTATTTTATTGTGTTCGTCCAGAGTTTCATTTCACTTACTGACACTTCATTTTTTTTACTTACACACTGGCTGTAAAAACAGTTAATACCCAAATCCTCCCTGCAGCAATCAGGGATTAAAATGAGCCTTTCTTCAAATGTAAAAATGAACTTAGTAATAAAAAATAAATAAACAAATAAACAGTAATTGTGGTATTGTGCATGTAACAAGTAGAGCAGACATTTGCCTTCATCTCTGTCCATAAACTGGAAGTTAAAAGGCTAAAGAAAACTCCCTGTCTATTTACATACAGATAAAAACAATCTATATATTTTCAAATGATGAAGAATTTTACCCCATAAAATGTTTCCTAAAAGGTCTTCCCCACCAAAAACATGAGTAGGCTTGATCTGATGATATTGATTATTGCGATATTTCCCTCAATATGCAATGTTTTTTATAATATAAAAGAAAAGAAAAAACAGAGATGGAGATGAATAAAAGTCATATCTGTGGCTGTAGTGACCTTTTGATAAAGGTCTAATAAGACTGACTCAGACCCTCCAGCTCTGTGTGAACCTGCTGTTCTTTCACATCTTCAGTAAACCGAGCTCTTCCCTGGGGGGTCAACCCCCTCAGAGAGTCTTTGTTAGGTCGTATATTCCTGTTTACACTCACTTTGTTGTTCTTCTCACTGTATTATGTCTGTGTGGGAAAAATTCGCCATTAGAGCCAATTAGCTCTTCTGTCAATAACAGGGCTGCTTCCACCATGTAAACTCAGTGTCTATATGAATATAATGAATACATACACACTATATATATGTCTTTTTCATATCTTGTCACGTTTGTGCATCTTTCTTTTTAATTTCCTTCTTTCTGTCCTCATTTCGTTTCCTTGTCTCCTCCCCTCTGGTTTTCTGTCCTCTTTTTATTCACTTGTGCATTTTTATCTCTCTCCCCACGGCCTCCCCTCCTATCTCTTCACTTCCTTGAGAGTATTTCTGGTGGACTGTGTGTGTGTGTGTGTGTGTGTGTGTGTGTGTGTGTGTGTGTGTGTGTGTGTGTGTGTGTGTTGGCTGTCTTTCAGATTCAGTGTGACAGCTGTCGTGTTACCTCAGGGCTCTGTCCTCTTTCTCTCTTCTCCTCCCTCCTGTCATCATTTGGACATTACAGTGTGTCAAAACAGGAAGTGATAAATATTCCTTTCTCATCCTCTGTCTCTGGTAACATTTATAAGCCATCGCTACACGGTACTTTAGCAAAGATTTCGAACTCCAGATGGAGGAGATGACCCTCCTGTTTCTTTCAGGGTGGATTAGGTTCCTCCCTGTAACAAACACAGATGCAGTGAGACGGAGCTGGAGCTTCCCTCTTCTCCGGACGGTAAAAACAGCAGGAACATGAAACATGGACGTGTTTGTGTTCGTCAGAGTAACACTCAGCCTCTGTGCCCCCAGACGGATTGATGATAACCTCTGTTAGCTGTGATCAGAGAGGAGCTCTGTTCTCCTGCTCAGACACAAAGCTCAGCTGTGAGCTCTTTGATATCCATTCAGACTGAAGCACTGACCCTGCAAAACTCTGTCGGACTCGTATCTGGACAGATCAGCGTGGGTTATCGGTCCCAGATCTGAGACTCTGCTCCTCACTCGGGCTTAACGTGGATGTAACGAGGCTCGGCTTCAGAGACAGTTTATACTCTGCACATCTGCACAGCTGTGATGGTCTGTAAGGTGTCAATCCTTTCATCTGCCCTCGTCTGAGCTAGCAGCCCAGAGTTTAAACAGACGGCTGTGGATCACGTCTCATCCTAAACCTCACCTGCTCCTGAAGAGAGTTAGCTGCAGCTTGTACTTTAAAATGTAGTAGCCCATATTACCCAGACCAGCTGCTAACTGCTGCTGTGTTCTCCTTCTGCCTCGGAGCTAGTTACACCTCCTGTTTGAGTTTAATCCAACTGTCTGTCCTCTGCCTGTTCTGCACCGAAGCAGATTCAGTGTCATGATGTATCTGAGGAATTCTCTGGAGCGTTGCTTAAATTTTTTTTTTTGTTTATTTACATGACCATCACCTATACTGAGCATGTGCGAGCTGGTGTAAACAGGAAGTAGATCGTCTCCTCTGCAGTAAATCCTCTGAAGGAGGAACAGCAGAGACAGTTGTAGCATTAAAACAGAGAATGTCAGTGAACAACAGCTGCTAGCAAAGACAACAAGGTCAGTAACACTGTCATTCATTATCATTTTGTATTCACTACTGGTAGTCCAGGCTGATGAGAGCCAATCAGGAGAGGCCGTGGCTGTGACCTCATCATTTACAAAGGTCTCAGTTTCTGTCCAGAACACAACCCCAGAGTTTTCAAAATAAAACACAACCCCAAAGTTTTCAAAATAAAACACAACCCCAGAGTTTCTCAGTTTTAGGCTGAAAAACTCTGGAGTCGTGTGGACAGAGGAGTAAACATATGAAAATAGATGCGTTGTGTACGTAGCCTAAGTCCAGTGTTCCCTCTCTCTCTTTTTCCTCTCTGTGTTTGGTCTCCACCAGCTCTTCTTTAGCTGCTAAATGCTGCACCATGTTCACCAGCTGCTGTTTGCTACTGAGCAGGAAGTGGGCAGAGGCTGTTTTTAACGACACTCTGACACTCTCCACATTTCACGTCATTTCATGGATTATTATTATAGAAATATTGATTATACTATATACTATATATTGAACAGAGGGAGTAATATTTATGTTTATTGGATTGTTTTGTACAGACTGTGTTTTGCTGTGCGCTCATGATTTGTAACAAAAGGTTGTTGAAAGCGTTGACAAGCCGTCGCTGTCCATGTTAATTATTCATTCACAGAATATTTTCTTTTCCCTCCTTTTCTTTCATGAAATGTAAAATACAGTTTGTATATTGATATTGTTGTATATTATATATTATATATTTGTTTTTCAATTATCATCAGTTGCTCTATAATTTCCTCTGAATTTTTTCAGGAAGTTTTTGTCAAAGATAAAAATGATTTATTGGGACATTTCTCTTGCTGGAAATAAAATGACCAGTGTAGAAGACATTCAGTGCTGTTCAAGAAAAGTTTGAGGAGTTTGGTTTTGAAGTGGAGGATTGTGGGTACAGAGTTGAGAGCTCAGTGAGTGTGATGATGTTATCCAGCAGCTCCGCCTGGGTGGAGTTGGTTTCCTGTTTGCTCTGTTTGAGATGCAGAGGATGAAACGAGCGGCGTGTTGTTGAAGCAGAAAACAAACAGGAAAAGTAACTGAAGGATTCAGGTGCAGGAAAACTTCAAAACCCAAGTGATCTTGTGAATCAGCTGCTGACTCTCCTTTGTCTGTCTCTTTCTTTTTTATCTCTATAGATCACAGCATCGACTTCGTGGCGATGGACGTGGCGGTGAACGCTGCTGCCGGCGCGCTGAAGGCTTTCTTCGCCGACCTGCCAGACCCGCTGATCCCCTACAGCCTGCACCCAGAGCTGGTGGAGGCCGCAAGTAAGAACACACACACACACACACTCACTCACACACACACTCACTCACACACACACACACACACTCACTCACTCACTCACACACTCACACTCACACTCACACACAGACACACACACACTCACTCACACACTCACTCACTCACACACTCACTCACACACACACTCACTCACACACACACACACACACTCACTCACTCACTCACACACTCACACTCACACTCACACACAGACACACACACACTCACTCACACACTCACTCACTCACACACTCACGCTCACACTCACACACAGACACACACACACTCACTCACTCACTCACACCCTCACACTCACACTCACACACAGACACACACACACTCACTCACTCACTCACACCCTCACACTCACACTCACACACAGACACACACACACTCACTCACTCACTCACACCCTCACACTCACACTCACACACAGACACACACACACACACACAGGGGGGGGGGGGAGTGTGTGTGTGTGTGTGTGTGTGTGAATCCACCAGGCTGACGACAGCAGATTAATGAGCCAAAAATACAGAGAAGGAGAGAGACATCACATTTTAATAAGTTTGTGTGACTGAGAGAGAGAGAGGAGCTCTTCTTCTTCTTCTTCTTCTTCTTCTTCTTCTTCTTCTTCTTCTTCTTCTTCTTCTTCTTCTTCTTCTTCTTCTTCTTCTTCTTCTTCTTCTTCTTCTTCTTCTTCTTCTTCTTCTTCTTCTTCTTCTTCTTCTCTGGAAAATGAATCCAGTGTAACAGGAACTTTTCTTCTTCCTCTCTTTCTCCCTCTCTCTTATCTTTCCAACACTCCTTCCTTCACTCCCTTTTTTCTTTTCATCTTGCTTTCATCTTCACTTTCTTTCTCTTTCACTTTCCTGATGTCTCTCTCCAGTCGCCACACGACCACACTCCTATCCTCTTTGACCCTTGACCCTTGACAGTCTCTTTGGCAGGAAATCAGGCTTCAGTTAAATGAGACGTTGCATATCTGACCTGTTTGCTGGTTCATCACTTTAACAGTCTCAGGTTCAGGCTCCATGTTGTGAGTATTTGCAGCTTGTGTGTCGTCAGATTGATGAAGATGTTTTCTTCAGTTGCAGTTCTTTGACCTCTCAGGGCCACCGTAGAAAAGACTGTAAATCAGAGGTCCACATGTTGATCTCTGGCCGGGCCAAAACGAGATCCAGTCTAATCCTGGTCTGTGGTTGCAGGTCTCAGATCAGTGTGTGAAGAGACTCTGAATAATCAGAGCAGAAGCAGATGATTGTAGGTGAGAGTGTGAACTTTATGCAGTGTTTAGACCTGCTCTGCTAACACTGCCAATATTCACACACTTTAATTTAAAAAACATGAGCCTTCAGGAGAAGAAACTGTAGAGACACATATTTAATGAGTGTGGCTGTTGTTTCAGCCGCCGTCTAACAAACTGAGTTGATCATGAGAAGAGATCCGTCAGGGTCTCTGTGGTTTAACACCTCTGTTCAACAACGTCTGGAGGGAATCCTGCTGCAGGATTCAGGAAATATGCGACGGCTGCTCATGATTCTCACATGAATTAATCATAAATCTCTCTACCAGACTCCAAAACTGCAGTGAGTTCAGTGCTAACCCTCCAGATTTTAAGACCATCAGTTCCTGTATATGAAAGACCTGTGGGGAGGCGGGGGGGGTCATGTTTAACCCTCACATACTGTTCATATGGGGGCCAAGAACTCCCTCATAATAAGTGTCTGTAGTGAATCTAGAACTACAGATCTATGTAGAAAGTATAAACAGCCTCTCTGACATTCATACATGGAGGATTAATCCTTCTTTAATGTGTCAGAGCAGGGAGAGAGTATTCTTTAGCTTTTCATCTACTGCACCGTCTGTCTGCTGCCAGAACCTCAGTCAGTGAAGTGGCAGCTCAGGTACCTTTATAATCTCCTGACCCCCCCCCCCCCCCCTCAGTGGAGGCCGCCCGTCTGACCTCTTTGTTGTCGACCTCTGTTCCTTATGTGCACCATATTGATCACTCGATGCTGTTTGACTCTTCCACTGTTTCCAGATATCCCCCATGACCCTTTCGAGCCAGCATGGGCCTAAGTCTCTGGGGGAACAGCTGGGCAGATTGTGGCGGAACACAGACAGTTGGTGTGGTGACCAGTGTCGAGGTCCCCCTTGAACTCTGTCACCACTGTCCCATAACAAATACACACAGACAGGGCATGTACAGTTTCACAGTTTCAAGATCCCCTAAAACCTCCATGTTCCTTCATCTGACGCACAGATCTAATATCTGTGGATCTACAATCCACTTCAATAGCTACGGCTCAGATTTGTAGCAGCTGTAACAAAAGTATAAAATATTAAAATATTTTCATTTTGGTGTATTTTGGGTCACTTTAGGAAAAGTCATCAAACTTCAGGCTAAAAGACATTTAGGGTTTTGTTGTCAGAGGGGTTGACAGTCACAGTTGACCTGAACATTAAGTAAGGGTTAATAGTCGAGACGTACTTTCAAATTTCTCCTAAACCCTCTGAGGTCTGAGGGCATTTTCTCCATTTCTACATCATGTTCTATTTTTTGAAATTCTTCAGATGTGTTCACCAAAGTCTTTAAGTTCATAAAAATAGTGCAATATGTGAGTAAAATAGTAGATAAATGGATAATAAATGCCTAGAATGAAGTTGTATTTGTTGTCTGTCACTTTAAGCAGATCTTAGAGGGAGAGTCACAGCTGATCTCATGAGAACATGTGAGAGAAAGTGGAGAGTCGACAGATTCTGACAACATATTTCTACGCTGTGTTCTCACAGAGATATTAATACAAACAACCAATGACCTCAGAGGGTTAATAATGTAATAAATGAATCTTTATTCCCAGACAGGTAAAGCATCATTGAGAGTCAGTGCCAGGTGTGAGTGTTAATTTGAACCAGGTCATTTAATATCTAGAGAGCTCGTTAATCTACCGAAAGGACGAGTCTGTGCTGAAGGGAAACGTCCACCTGGATTTGAGTGTGTTTTTGGATCAAGCCCAGAAGTCTGGCCGCATGATGACATCTAATGTAAAGCAGTGGTGTCTAACCTTTGGATGGGGGGCATCAGGGGGCAGGAGATGAATCTTGGGGCCTTCAGGAGGATTAACACGACAGAAGAAGAAACTTTCCTAATCTTTGTTTCTTTGAGCCGTGGTGTCAGTTTAGTTTTGACCTGCTCTACTTACCGTAGTTGTGCACACACAGATTCACTACGTGGTGGATGATTGTAATGAGCCGTGTCTTTGTTTTCCATTCAGAATAAACAGGTGCATTGTGGGTACACAGAGTGTTTTCCCATCAGACTGATACAGATTTAATGAAGGGGATTAGAGCGTGGTGTTGGTCCTGTGGTGAACTGTTTCTGTCTTGGTAATGTGGGGATGTGGCAGCATGGATTAATGACCTCTGACCTCTTACAGCCATTAGAGGGTCAAAGGCTCCTGTTGGCTTCTCGTTAAGATGATTGATAGCGTACAGGATGAATAAATCTGAGCGCCGTCACGAGCGCAGCTGTAAATTTGAGTCTACAAACGGCTTCCTGCTGGTGCTGGAATGTGTGGAATATCCTGGAGACTATTGAGGACGGGGACGGACGGTCAGCGCGTGTTAAAGCAGCTTTGTTGTGACAACCCAAAGGTAGAAGCTCTTATTTCACATCTGCTCTGTAAATATTTAATAAGTGAGCAGAGCGTTTCTGCTGCGACGAGCCGGCGCTGGCGTGAAAGTGACAGAGTCTTTGGAGAGGACGAGGATTATCCAGGAACTTCATAGATGGTTTAGTTTTCAGGAATCCTGCAGGACGTGTTTCAGTTTGCTGGGTCACTCAAACATTCACGTGTTTTTAGGTCTGATTATCACCATGACAGCAGAAGCTTCAGTTTCATTCATATCATTTCATTTCTACATAATTTGGATAGTTTCTATATTTGTTAAGGCATTTTCTGTCTTTGATGTTTCTATCAGGAGAGATCTGACTATTTTATATTTCTGACTCATAAATCAAGGAATCGATCTGTTGATTGGCAGAAAATTAAAATGAATGTTTGGGTCTGAACATTATTTATAGTCATCACTGTAAAGAAATATGTGTTGAAGCTTTTGTTGGGCGTCTGTCAGTGTTCTCGACAGTCTGAAGATTCAATGATTGATTAGTTGATTGAAAAGAATCAATAGATTCTAAATTAAGAGAAAAGTGCACAGTGACTTATGAAGTGACTTCAGTGAAACTTGGGGGGGGGGGGCTGATGAAGCAGGAAGGACAAACAGCGGGTAGATCTTTATTCCTGCCAGTCTGGGGATCGAACCCACGACCTTCCAGTCACAAGCTTGCGTTTGTGACGTGCTTGACTTCTGATCAAAGCTGATTAAAGAGACGACTGTGATTCGTCAAGAAGTTACAGGATGAAGAGCCAATCAGAAGCACAGAGACAGTCACACATCCAACATGTCAAATCATTGTTTATCAAAATACAAGATTCAGCTACATGAAAGAAAAAAGATCAAAATATTGAACATCACAGAAAATGAAACACCTCTGTCTCTATGACACCTGCAGTGTTCAGTCTAGGTGTGTAGTTAAACTGTTTGAGCACTGAGGTGAAAGTCAGTGATGCTGTTGTGGCGTTTCTAATATTCTGCCCCTTATGTATGTAAACAGGAAGTAATTGAATATAATTATAAGACCATGACCTCAGTGATAAACATATGATTATATTTACATATTAACAACAATGTCAACAGAACTGATCGTCCTGAGTTTTGTAAAGTTTATGGCAGGGCAGTTTTACATGGTAATATAATAACACTGAGCTGTGAACCTTTCAAAGTGGCCACTGAGTGTGTGTTACTTCAGTAGAGGTTCAGTAGAAGAGGTCTTGTTCCTTCAGAATAAGAGTTGGGCCTTTAATCAGCTGTTTCCTGTTGCTGAGAATCAAATACAATCAAATACAAATGTTTGTTTTTGTCAGAAAAAACTGACCTGTTTTTGTTTCTGAGCAGAGACGTGATGCAGGGTAGTGTTGTTTCTGCCCACAAGGCTCTGTGTGTGTGTGTGTGTGTGTGTGTGTGTGTGTGTGTGTGCAGAGCGTGGGAGCTGCTCTTGGCAGCATCGCAGCCTTTTGTTTTCCAGAGAGTATAATTTCCGTTCCCAAGAGAGTGTGTGTAAAATATAAAACGCCGTCTGTTTTCTCTCCCCGTGTGTGTGTGTGTGTGTGTGTGTGTGTGTGTGTGTGTGGCAGAAATTGTGGACTACATTGAGCGTCTTCAGGTCCTGAGAGAAATCGTGAAGAAGTTTCCCTCCGTTAACTACCAGGTCTTCAAGTACATCATCACACACCTCAACAGGTGAGGTCCTTTACCGAGTGACATTTATAATTAGATTATTAATTTATTAATTAGATTCTGGATCTGTGCAACACTTAGTGAAACTTTTAAAAATGACAGTTTTATTAAAACACAAAGGTATGAAGAAATTAAAAAATGAGAGGGTTTAAATGACTTTAGTAACTTATCACTTTACAGAAGCTGATTAATAATATAAAATATAATCAATAAATAAATGATGTATTGTTAAAGGTAAAGCAGTGTATAAAGTCTCTGAGCACAGCTGTACAGTAACACACATGACGTTAGACAATAAATAAAGAAGCTAATATGTCATGAGAGATGGTCAGTACAGCTGACAGTGGCTGGTGCTTCACTGGTGCTACAGACCATGATCCCGACAGAGCTGCGTAAAGACTTTTAAGTTGCTGTGGTAAAATATGCTGATAGTTATAAAACCTGATGATGAAGATAAAACATTATAATCCTGAAGTCGATCCACAGGTCTGAGCTGCTCGTAGATTTCATTTTTACTGAATAGAAAAATCTAAATGGGAGAAAAGTGATGGAGGCTCATGAGACTTTCTCAGCTGCAGTTTTACTGATGTGACTGTGATGTGTAAAAACACGCATCTGATCTCATGAAATAAACATCATGTGTCAAGAAGCTGCTGCAGCGTCGACGTCCGGCGGGAACCCGCTCCACAAATCAGCCAACAAGACAGACAATGTGACAGCGTGACAGCATGAAAGGACAGTTGTCATCATTTTAGTGAATGTTATGAAGATCTAATTCATTTCTACACTAAACATGATGTCATGGTTCATCAGTTAATGATGAAGTCAAAACGTCAGTCAGCGGCTGGAAGTGTCTGTGTAACAGTGATGAGTCATGTTCACCACTGACCTCATACAGAGACGACGTCTCAGTGTCAGTCTTTGTTTTGTTTGTGATGATATCTTTACATTCATAGATCCGGTACATTCTAATTTAATGTTTCTGATCGTAATGATCTGATCATGTTATTGTTCTACAAACTTCAGTTGTAATTAATGAGTCTCAGCGAACTTTAATTAAAATCTGACATCAGAAAATATGTGATACTGAGCGTGTTTCCT